GAACGAGGGAAATGGAGCGACCAGTTGATGGTTGCTCACACGGATTACAGAAAAGGCAGAATCAACGAGGCGTTCGCCAATTACGCTCTTCTCGCGGAAATGGGTTACGAAGTTGCGCAGAGTAACGCTGCCTTTATACTGGACAAGGGGGAGACTACGATACTGACAGAAGAAGAAGGTTTGGTCAGAGCACTTGCTCTGTGGTCTAGAGCCGCCGCGCAGGGATACTCTGCTGCTCAGGTATTTTTCGAATTTTACTGGAACATTCGATTGCTCTTCGACTGTGTCGATCATTGAACCTAATGCTACCAGGTGAAACTGGGAGACGCTCATTATTACGGCAGAGGGACGGAAGTCGATTACGAGGCTGCGGCTAGTCACTACCGACTAGCTCCCGAGACAGCTCAAGCGATATTTAATCTTGGATACATGTACGAACGCGGCTTAGGCTTGGCGAGAGACCGATACTTGGCCAAACGGTGTTACGATCTTGCTGCGGAGGCCAGCCCGGACGCGAAAATTCCCGTCGCGTTGGCGCTCATTAAGCTCTCCTTCCTTTTCGGTTTAGATTATCTGCAGGAATTTAGTCTTGTCGATCATCTGAATAAATGGGACCAGCTCTTCGGCCAGAACTGGGACTTGTTTCTCATAGGACTACTGACTGGCATGCTCAGCATAATTATTTACTTCCGCAGGCCGCAGCCACCACATCTGCCTGGAATTAATTAATTAATTTATTGATTAATCGATTAATTAATTAATTCTTTACTATTCCTTTTTTGTTTCCAGTCCCTTTCTTTTTCTTTTTTTTTAGACGAAGTCAAATTTGTTACTGATGGTTCGTAAATACACGCACGTGCGTGCATACCAACACGTTGTTTTCATTGAACCACCTCATTCGCACGAAATCGTTACGAATTTTAAGGGAACTCTGTACTTCTAAGATCTTACTTCGGTTTGCGAGAGTGTGCTGATCCGTGTGTGTGAGTAATTTGTATTTATT